TCAGTTGCAGCAGCTCATAGTACATTGAGTCCCCCAGGGGCCGTAGCGCTGTGCCTGCTCTTCTGCGGGCACGTATACGGTACAGGAATGACTGCCCCGGGGTACCCAGTCAGATGCTGACTCGTGTTGCTACGCAATGCAGCGGCTTTTGAGGTTCTGAGTCCCTTCGGGAACATTGAATGATGACAGAATCCTCTAAATATGAGAGGGCTACGGCCCTACGGGATTAGTACTTTGTCTACGTCGTTGGTATGAAGAGACTACGGTCTCTGATGATTAGTGAACACCCAGTCTTGAACGACTTTCTGTCTCAAAGCCTGAAGGCATGCAAGAGCACTACTCTTCTTGTGTAAAGGAATGACGATAGAACCTTGAACATATATGAGAGAGGCATGAGTTTCAATGATTAAAAATACCCGTTGAACATTACCTTGTCTTCGGCATGAAAAAGCTGCTGGCGGCTTCTCATGATGCGATAGTCGACGACATGGTGGGCATGAGGAGGCCACATCCCCCGGCCTCCAATGATTAAACGTCCAATGGGGGTTCACCCGCCAACGACAGTCACATATTATGAGGACGCTTCGGCGGTTCATAATTACACGAGACATCATACAGAGACGATGGGAAAGCCCTGTCACTTCGGAGCAATCCGAAAGGCATCCTGCGCTGCACCAATGGTGCATTCGTAGGTAAATCCGTTGGAAAACCATAACGGTTAGTGGGCAACATCCTTAACCCCTTGACATACAATGACGAGTCTGACTCGTCATTCATTTCATGAGCCACTGTAGACTTTGACGAGTCTGACTCATCAAGCGCTTTTTTCGGCGGACGCCGTGCAGTTTACAATTAGATTACATAGTTGCTTCACTCGTGCGTCGATTCTCGTTTGTTTATAACGTTCGAGATGGCCCAAGAACAAAAAAGCATCAAACATATAAAAAGGAGCACACTCAAAGTAACATTCAGTTTAGTAGGAGTCTCGCACAATGAATGTTATACTAGCCAATATTTGAGTTTAGTAAAGATTATAAATAATCCCTGTAACATATATAAGTCGGATGCATTGTATGAAAGTGACAATGAGAAATTACCTACAAAGAGATGCCGCATGTGCGCAAAAAACAACATAAGAAGTGAAACAACGTGGCAATGCAAAAAATGTTTAGTTCCTTTACATGTTCCAAAATGTTTCGAAATATTCCATACTGTACAGAACTATTAAATTATTATTTTTTAATGTTATTTAGATGTTCTTTGTTAACATCAATCTGATTAATAAAAATCCAAATTTCAAAATAAAATGTACTCTTTCTTAGCTTTTACGTAACTGTTTAGTTGAGCGAAATTAAATAATATTTTTTGCTCGCATTAAGTTCCATTTAATTTATATATCAAGGGGTTAATTCGATTGCGCGGCTAGGACGGGCAGCTAAACTTTTAACGGGGGAGTGAAGTCCGGCATATGCGCAAGCATAAGCTCGGATGAGAGTTAAACGTCCAACGGAAATAGATTGGTAGACCACGGGATCGGGGCACAAGCTAATCTTCCCCTACCGGAAAATGTCCCGGCGTTGCATTAGGAGATGAATTCTTTTAATACGATAAAAAAGATGATGATAATCTAATATCAGCGGAAATAATCGGTTGTATAGTATAACTATGTGTGGTTGCTGATATAGAATGTATTACAAATTCTACTTTTTTACACCTTAATTCAACAAGCTATAATCAGAGTAAAATTCAAACAGGAGTCCATCCTGATCCGAAATATATATTAGGTCTATGCATAATTCCGTAGCGAAATCCCGACAGATATTCTTCGCAGTTGTTTTTCCGCTCATGTGTCAATCATATTAAATGTCGTACATTAAATGAAAGCTGAAATTTATACCGACATTTTAAGTATTCGTCAAGATTCGTGAGATATATGAAGTTTAAATATATTTTGAACATGGAAGGAAAAAACGTGTATTTTTGGTGCGTTTCGTTTTTTATTTCCGAGAAGGAAAAACGCATTGCAAACTCACAAAAAGATATGCGTGTACGGATAGAATACCATAAGCGAAAATATATATTGGAAGTGGTTTGCAAAATTCCGTTGCGGAGATTTTAATCTCCAAGATGATCCTCTCTCTGGTCGGCAAGTCACTATTGATACTGATCAAATCAAAGCTTTAATAGACTTCGACCGGCGTTTGACGATCGGACATAACCTCAACATTGACCAATCAACTGTTTCATTTCCAGAAGATTAGGATGGTAAACAAGTTTGATGTTTGGGTGCCACACGAACTGAGCTAAAAACATGTAATGGACTGAATTTCAGCTTGCGATTCACTGCTCAAACACCGTCAAAACGGACCATTTTTAAAGCGGATGATCACTGGCTATGAAAAGCGGATTGTCTATAACAATGTCAGTCAAAAAAGATCATGGTTGAAGCGCGGGAAGACTGCTCAGATGGTCGCAAAGGCTGGATTACACTCAAAGAAGGTCATGCTCAGTATCCGGTGGGAAAGGAATTGTCTGTTATGAGATGCTGCCACCAACAAAACGATTGATTAGACTAAATACTACTCACAACTAGTCAAATTAAAGCGAGCAGTCGATTAGAAGCCGCCCGAATTGGTGAACAGAAAAGACGTTGTGTTCCATTGAGACAACGCTATATTAAACGTTTCTCTGATGATCCGGCAAAATTTATTGCGACTTGGACGAGATGTTTTGCTGCCCTCACCGTATAGTCCGGACCTTGCACCTTCAGAATATAACTTGTGCCAGGCACTACAGAACAATTTGAATAAAAAACTTTCAGTTCCCTTGACGTCCTCTAACAACAAGAGTGATTTCTTTGCCAAAAAATCTCAGGACATCTTTGAAAGAGGGATAATGTATCTCGTGCAGAGATGGCAGAATATCATTGAGTAAAATAGAACAGAGTATATTTAGTTGATTAAAATCGCTCTTTCTGTTAAATATTTTGCTTTTGAAATTTACTCAATTTTCGCTAAGGAATTATTCATAGACCCAATATAATTTCTACTCCATATCAATTAATCTAATGTTTTACGTTTGTAATATATATATCGTACTTATTTTCTAAATCTTCCATTGATAATAAATATTTCTTTGTAACAAATTTTGTAATTGTTCAAGATACTATACTATATACTGTTTTGAATCTTCTGACACACGTTGTTGAGACTTTGAAACCTGGCGCACTTTTCCCTTTTAGCGCTCGAGAAGCCCATTGATCAATGTCAATAAGGTGAATAATTGTTTCTTTTTCAAGTACTTTATTGAAATCATTTAATGTGTATTCAGAAATTCGTTTTAATTTTTCAAATCTGCTACCGCCTACGTTGATTTGGTGTTTCCATCGTCGTAGTAATGTTATTGATGTAACCATTATAAAAATTTGTTTAACGCCTTCATGGGATATCGGTTTTGTTTTACTGCTGCTATAGTACTATATAGCCTGTATTTTATAATCACTCGATATTGTTGCTTCAACAGAACTACAAACAACTTCTTCCAAAAGAAATTCTTAATTTCCATGTTCTTCTGATAGATCAATATTTTCTATTATTGAAATCTCATATACATTATAATACTCTAAAATTTCTTTCCAACTGACATTTGTTATTTTGTATTTCTTCTAACATATATTGAATTTTCTCTTTTACTTAAATTTTCTCCGAAGTTATCAGACTGTAGAAGGTTGAAAGCAATAAGTGCTATGTAGAGTCACATTATTATATTCTTACGCCCATGTCTTGATGCCCGCGCCTTTAGCGCCCTGAACAGCAGATTCTCTTAGCAACGAGTCGTAAACAAGAGATGATCAGCGTTGACTAATAAACAACGGGTTAGAAAGATTCTCTTTGGGGCCGTTGAGTCGTCGTGACGTGCGCAACGGTCTTTAACGAAAGAGAGAGCTTAAGTCTGCGAGTTACGTGTGTTCCCTTGTAAATAGTAAATATAGTTGAAGTTGTTTTCTTGTTAACGTTGTTTCGTTTTATTTCCCCGCGCGAGCGTAACAATATTATATATAAACAGCATAGCTCTGAAAAATTTTAAAATTATGTATTTGTCACACTTACGAACGTTTTTATATGAAAAATAATACGCATCTAATAATTAATGAAATGTTCTTTTTTAGTTAGTCTAAATATTGCCTTTTTCCCTCCTTTCTTTATTGATGATGAAGATATGTAGTATAGTCCAAAATAAATTAATTCATCAAAACGGAGCAATAATTCTTCGTTTTGTGCTGTATAACGAAAATAAGGAGACCGCTACACAATATATTAGAATAGATATTTTAAATTTGGAGCAAGCGGAAAACATTAACATTACCAGTAAGGAATAATTTTAGTAGATGCTGAATCAATTTAGTACATAAAAACAATAGAATGACATGAAAAGTGGCAGGTAGTGTTTGACATACTTTTGTAATACAAATATTAGGTGAAGTAAAAAGTTCTGAGCGTTTTTTCGCTTTATTTCGACGATGAAATTAACATAGTTAGGATTATCCGATATTNTTGGAGCAAGCGGAAAACATTAACATTACCAGTAAGGAATAATTTTAGTAGATGCTGAATCAATTTAGTACATAAAAACAATAGAATGACATGAAAAGTGGCAGGTAGTGTTTGACATACTTTTGTAATACAAATATTAGGTGAAGTAAAAAGTTCTGAGCGTTTTTTCGCTTTATTTCGACGATGAAATTAACATAGTTAGGATTATCCGATATTAATCAAATATGCGCCGTTTTGTTCGATAACTTTTGTCCATTTTGAAGGCAATTTCATAATTCCGCGATTGAAGAAGTCCTCGTCCCTATTGGTAAAAAACTTGACCAGCTCATTTTCACAAGCCTCTCTTGAGGCCAGTTTTGTACCATCAAAAAAATTTTGCAAATGCTTGAAAAGGTGATAATCGCTTGATGCCAAGTCTGGACTATACGGTGAGTGCAATAGAACCTCCTATCCAAGCTCTCGGAACTTCTGGCGCGTCGTTAATGATGTGTGCGGCCTGGCGTTGTCTTGATGGAACACAACACTCTTTCTATTGGCCAATTTTGGCTGCTTCTGGTCAATCGCCTGCTTCAATCTGGTCAGTTGTTGACAATAGAGGTCCGAATTGAGTGTTTGGCCTGATGAGAGCAGCTCATAGTGGATGATTCCTTTCCAATCCCACCAAACACACAGCAAAACCTTCTTGGCCGTTAATCCGGGCTTGGCGATCGTTTTGGCCGGCTCACCGCGATTAGACCACGATCTTTTTCGGCTGTTGTTCTCGTATGTGACCCATTTTTCATCACCAGTTCCCATCGGGTTCAAAAATGGGTCGATTTCGTTACGTTTCAGTAAAGAATCGCAGGCATCAATTCGGTCTAAAAGGTTCTTTTGCGTCAATTCGTGTGGCACCCATACATCGAGCTTCTTCTTGAGACCAGCCTTATGCAAATGGTTCCAAACAGTTTTCTGGCTAATCTTCAGTTCCTGGGCAATGGAATAAGTGCTCACATGCCAGTCCGACTCGACGATTTCCATGATTTTATCGACATTTTCGACGATTGGCCTACCAGAGCGTGCCTCATTTTCGACGTCCATATTACCAGAACGGAATCGTAGGAACCACTGTTTTGCTGTTGCATTCGATACTGTATTGGGTCCATAAACAGCACAAATTTTGGCCGCCTGCTCCGCCTTTTCATCTTGGTCGTAGTGGTACTGAAGAATGTATCGAATTACCTCTTTTTTTACCTCCATTTTGGAACGCTGTAACACACAACTGCCTTGACCAAACACAAAATTGTCACAGAACTTTTTTTGAAGCGTAATGTCACCTTTAAATCGACGTATAGTATGACCCGATGCGATGTATACATCGTGAGATATGGCTCATTAAAGACATCTAGCGGAAAACGCTCAGAACTTTTTACTTCACCTAATAATATTAAAGCAGATTAATAAACATAAGATAGTAACAAAAGTTAATATATACTTCCATGTTTACGAAATGACTGAATTCAACTCACAGTTCTCTATGTTAACAACTTATGAAATATAATGCAAGCTTTTCGATATTACTGGCCCTTACATAATGATTATATCACACAATATGAACTAATACTTGGTAATGATCCTAATTAAAAATATATTCCAGACCTATAAAAGCCAGACATCAGATTAAAATTCGTTAATTTAAAAATAATATAGCCACTTATATAAAAATATCCATGTAACAAAGCTTCACTCTCCTTCATACCTTTTCCAATAAATTTCTCCTTCATACTTTTTCGCAATAAATAGGTATATAAATACAAAAAATGTTCGACACCATATTTGATTCTATTTTGTTAGAGTGAACCAAATCTCTTCTAAATTTTATTTATTACATTGAAAACGTCTAAAGAAAACTGAAACGTTTATAAATTTCTTATGTAATTGAGTTTTACATCAACGTGTTTTCATCCTGTATTTAGCTTTTATGAGCCAAAATTATACTTTTGTTACACATAAATGAACCTTAATTTATCTTTAAACTTTCGTCTAATGATTCTAATGTGATGAACGTGAATTTGATGAACGTTACTTGAATGTGTCATGTATAACATGATCGTTATATACCTCTCTCATCAATTAAGTTAACGATATGTTTTATTTTCATACTACACATACAAGGTTTAATCTCTTGCAAAAGTAACAGAATCTGAGTTTCTTTATTTCTCGCATTGTCGCTTTATTTTAAATCATCTGGATCTTGTATCGACTTACTTTTAAGATTTGAATTTACACAGATTTTACACATATTTTATTCAAGAAATATAAATTTGAAATTTTTTTACTAATAACGACGTCGTTACATATATTTCTTACTGTTATTACATATGCAAATTTATCAAGTAGCGCATGAAGCTTAATATTTTTAAACGTTCTTGCAAATTTATCTATATTCATATTTTTATTTCGTTAATACGTCACACAATATATTGTCACGTCCTGGATGGTTCGTGACACGCGCGGCGGAAACGGCACCGCCACGCAAAGCAGCTATAAGAGGGAGAGGTTGCGGAAGGTTATACACATGGTCTGAAGTGGGGTCACGGAATAACAGGATTATTCAGAGAAGAAACAGGAACAAAATAAAACGAAATAGTAATATAATGTATTAATTTTGGCTTCGCGAATTTCGTTAATTTTTATAACAAGATGGTAACAGGTTTCTCGCTATGTCACGCCAAGATGAAATAAAGGTTTAGAGCTGGACAATATTGATTCAGGAATAATGGTCCTTGATATAATAATAATATAATAGTAACTTACGTTCGATGTCGGCTAATCCAAAAGAGTAATAGGCGAGGGAAGTACGTCGCTTTAGGTGAAGAAACAGGCAGCAGAAGGTCACTTAAAATGACTAACTAACTAAGAAGCGCGGCTGCACTGGCAGAACTTGGAAAAAAGGCCAACTCGAAAAGTCACGCGGAATGAATTAAGAAAAAATTCGTTGCTGCACGGATCAGACTCCCGAGAAAAATTGGCTGTAGTCTAAATTGAGAAAACTCGTGAGACTGACTTGAGAAGCTTACTGAATGAAAACTACAGAGATTGGCTTGAAACTGACTAACTTGAAGACGAGTTTCTTATTTATAAGCTCGTCTCTGTCTTCCTTTTCTCCCTACAATCGCGATGGTTAGCATTTTCGGTCACCAACGGACTTGGTCTTCCACGGTGTAAAATAAGACGAGGAACGGATTATACAAATCCGTTCTCACAGAGCAAAAAAATTTTGCGCATGAGAACATATGTTTAGAAAACGCGGAATAAAGTGACACGGGCCCTGGGCTTTCAGTTAATTTAAATAGGTGTTGGTAAAAGATTTTATTCTACGAGAGAGAGAGAGAGAGAGAGAAATAGAGAGAGAGAGAGTGTGTGTGTGTGTGTGTGTGTAAACGATCCACTTATCGGGTGACTTTAGGTTACTGATAATGCAGCTCCCTTGAAGAGTGGGTTACGCGATTCGGTTTGGACGGCAGTCAACGGTTGACAGCCAGAGAGTAATAAAGAATAAGCGAGAAAAGTGGTGCTGAGAACAAGACAAGGAATAAAAAGGAAAAAAAAGGAGAAGATAAAAATCATCAGTGTGAGAGAGGAGAGGAGAGCTTTCGATCAGCTTGTGAAGGTGTGTTCAGATTATTAAGAAGTTTATACATTCCCCAGTCAATTATATTCTGCTTATAATTTTCTGCTTATAGTCGTATTAAAGGACTTGATGGGTACCGGGAGTAAGGACGCGATGGGAAAGGGTAGGTCTGTTGAGAGAACGGCGCAACCCCCGAAGAGATACAGAGCAATTCTGGACCATAAAGGAGGAAGATTGGAATGAGTTCTGACTCTGGAATACGCATGGGTTTTGTGAGTTGTTCAGTGTAAATAAGACATATTGGTAAGAGAAGAAGAAAAGAAAATGGAAAAAGAAGGAAAAAAAGAAATAAAGAAGTGCAGGCAGGATAAAAAAAAGAGATCTTTAGTTTATTTTTTTCCGCGCCTTCCTTTCCGTACGTTTCTCGCGCTGTTATTGGGTGAGTACAAAAGTGCATGCGGAGTTTGTGAGTAAAAGTCAGACAGTGATTAGGCAAACAAAGTTCTTTATTCAATCAATGATATATTCTCCATCGTTGTCTATAATCTTTTTCCAACGTTCTGGCAGCATACGGATGCCCCGATCATAAAAACTGCGCGGTTTAGATTCGAAGAACGAAGACACGACGTTTTTTAAGGCATCCAAAAAGTCAATTTTTTCCATTTAAATGATTTTGCAATGACCGGAACAAGTGATAATCAGAAGGTGCGATATCAGGAGAATACGGTGGATGAGTTAGGACATCCCATTGCAGGCTGTTCAGTTTGCGCAGCGTCTGTCTCGAAACGTGTGGTCTTGCGTTGTCGTGGTGAAAGACTACGCCCTTGCGATTTGAAAAAATCGAACGTTTCTATTTGATTTCTCGATTCAGATTGGTTAATTGGCGACAGTACTTGTCCGAATCAATCGTTTGACCAGCGGGGAGAAACTCAAAATAAATTATGCCCTTGCAATCCCACCAAACACAGAGCATCACCTTCATCGGGTGTAAACCGGCCTTTGCCATTGCTTCACCATGCTCACCTGCCTGTTTCCATGTGCGTTTGCGCTGAACATTGTTGTACAGGACCCATTTCTCATCGCCCGTCACTAATCGATCCAAAAACGGCTCGTTTTTGAGCCGCCCGAGTAAAAAAACGGCAGCAGAAACTCGCTGGATTTTGTTCCTCTCCGTCATCAAATGGGGCACCCATACATCGAGCTTCAAATCGAAACCGATTTTTTTTAAACGCCGAAAAGCGGTTGATCGGTCAACGTTAAGTGCTGTAGCAACTTCCTCTGTTGAAATTCGCGGAGTATTCTGAACTAAAGTTCGCACAACATCGTCATCAATGTCTGAAGGTCGACCTGAGCGTGGCTCGTCTTCAAGGTTAAACTGTCCGCGGCGAAATTTCGCAAACCATTTTTCCACAGTTCGTTTAGCTGGTGCTTGATCTTGATAAACCTCTTGAATGTTTTTTACGGCTGCTGCAACGTTTATTCCTTTCCGAAACTCGTAAAGCATAACATGCCGTAAATGCACCTTTTCGACACTCATTTTGAAAGTAATCTTTCTCGAAGCAGTTCGTATCTACACAAATTCTTTTGTTTGAAATGAACGCTGCACACGTCACCTTTCCAACGATATGTCTTACGGAGATGGCGGTATTAATGACAAAACTTTACGCCGCTTCTAACGCCATCTATTGCACCTCCGCACGAACTTTTGGACTCACCCAATACTATTAAGCTAGAATAGGGCTACGGTTCCGGGGCAGGGATATATCGGGTTTTGCACGTGAATGGTCGCGGTAATGGGTCCGGAATGACGCGCACGTTAAACGACGGGGCTCAACGCAGTTGATATCTTTGGCGTGTCACGGCGCTGCTGTGTCCGATCCGGCTTGGAGCATGGGACTCCTTTGACAGATGGAATTTAGTTTCCCACGGTAAGTTTACTTTTATGGGGTGAATAATAATAATATGGTACTGGGTTACATATACTAAATGGACTGAAAAGTCCCGGGATTTTAAAGTATGTGGCGCCACTAGAAAATGAACATGATTTATTTCGAGAGGTTCATCTGTCACTAGTTTATATGTGAAGTTTCATGACATTTCGTTCATTTGTTTACAAGCTTCAGTCGTTTAAGTGTCGTTACCTTCGCCTTCGTAAAAAAAGTGGAAAAACAGGAATATCGCATATTTATCAAACATTGTCCTTTGATGGGAAAAACTCCAGAATATTCAATGAAATGGTTGAAGAAATGTTATTCCACATCTGCTCCTTCGAGAACAACAGTTTATCGATGGTTCAGTGAATTTAAAATGGGTCGTAAAAGCACCGAAGACGTACCTCGCTCTGGAAGACCAAAAGAGGCTATAAATGCGGAAATCGTAAAGCAAGTGCATCGAATCGTTTTGAGTGATCGTAAGGTGAAGTTGCTCGAGTTAGCTGAGGCCGTTTGTATCTCAAAAGAACGGGTGGGATACATTTTGCACGATGTTTTGGATATGAAAAGCTATCTGCGCGATGGGTGCCGCGTTTGCTGACCGTCGACCAAAAACAGCAGAGCGTTGATGATTCAACGGCCGTTTTGGCGTTGTTGCGGCGTAATTGAGCGGAGTTTTTTTGTCGTTTTGTAAC